ATTCTGGGAGTTGAAGTCCACAAGTCTTAAAGCTGTAAAGATGAAAAAGTGGTATTTTAAAAGTAGAATAAAATAGTTATGCGCTTTAGAATGAGAAAGGATATAGATCACGTAGCATAGTTATTGAGTGCGAAATTAAACATTTTTTAATATTTTATTATAGGATTTTAATGTTTGGGACTGCATTTATCGGGAGCGGAAGGGCTATTTTAATGTTTTGAATTCCAAAAGATTCAAACAGTTCTTCCCTCTGGTGTCCGGACATTCTGGGTCTTCAGCCAATATTTGCACTCCTTCAGTCATATGATCAAGGAGGAGAAAATTAAGAAAAAATAAGCGTGATGATAAAGAGGATATGTTATTAAGTCTGTATCAATTCTTAGCTAGATACAGCAGGTGGATTTTCTGGATTTATTTATAAATAAATAAAATGAATACTTGTGATAAAATGACCATCTGGCCCAAACAGTAGCCAAAGGGTCTTTATCACAACAGTCTATTTTAAATACAGTATATAGAAATTTAGATTTAACTCACTAAATTGAGATATCATAAATTGACACCTCATAAGCTTCCTAACAGACAGGAAGCAGCAGGTGAAGCTAGGCAAAATCACAGGAGCTCCCCAGGGCTGTGTACTCTCTCCACTTCTCTCTATGTACCGATGACTGCATCTCAAAAGATCCCTCTGTTAAAGTACTGAAGTTTGCAGATGACACAACAGTGATTGGTCTCATTCGAGACAACGATGAATCTGCATACAGACGGGAGGTTGAACAACTAGCCTTGTGGTGCGACTGGAACAATCTTGAACTAAACATACCCAAAACTGTAGAAATGGTAGTAGATTTTAGGAGAAACCCTCCTATACTACCACCTCTTATAATACTAGACAACACACTATCAACAGTAGAGACCTTCAAGTTTCTAGGTTCTATCATATATCAAGACTTAAAATGGACACCTAACATCAAAAACCTCATCAAAAAAGCACAACAAAGAATGTTCTTTCTGCACCAACTCAGAAAGCTCAAACTGCCCAAAGAGCTGCTGATTCAGTTCTACAGAGTCTGTCATCTGCACCTCTATAACGGTCTGATTTGGCTCTGCAACCAAACAAGACAGACACAGACTTCAGGGGATAATTAGAACTGCAGAAAAATCCATTGCTACCCATCTGCCTTCGATTGAAGACCTGTATGCTATACCAGGGGTCCCCAACCACCGGGCCGCGGCTTGCTGGGCGCCGCCATCTTTTTTTTCATGAAAAAGTGCTTCCGGTGAGCTTTTCCGGGTAGAAAGCTCACCGGAAGCATGTTTTCATCAAAAAAAGATGGCGGCGCCCAGCTGATGCCGGTACCGGGCCGCGGCACCCAGCTGATGCTGGTACCGGGCCATGGCGTCAAAAAGGTTGGGGATCACTGTGCTATACAAGTCAAAAAGAGGACTGTGAAAATATCTACAGACCCCTCATATCCTGGACATAAATTATTTCAACTTCCACCCTCAAAACAACACTATACTGCACTGCACACCAGAATAACTTGACACAAGGGCTGTTTTTTTCCTGAATGCCATCACTGTGCTAAACAACTAATTCCCACAACACTGCAAAATTATTCATTGACTGTATTACTATTATTATTCTCATCCTTCTTAGTACCTACAGTATCTCTTCCCACTTATGACTATAACCGTGTTGCTTGTATCTTTACAATTTATATTGTTTTATTTGTTTCCTAGTGTGATTTGATTGCTTATTAGTAACCTATGACTATCACTAATGTTGTATCTTATGATTCTTGATGAATGTATTTTATTTTTTCTTTATGTCCACTAAGAGCATATGCACCAAAGACAAATTCCTTGTGTGTCCAATCACACTTGGCCAATAAATAATTCTATTCTATGTCATTTTTGTTTTTTGCTTTTTTAGATGTTTCCATGTCTAGCTGTATGAGCAAAGTAGAAATCCATTAAAAATATAAAACAATCAAGCAAAACTAAGACAACAAAAACAAAACAACTACTATTTTTAGTCTCATGCTTCAGAAATGAAAAGATTAAATTCATAGTCACAACATAGCATTGCCAGAGCTGACAAGTCAAGGGTGGAAACTGGTTTTCTACAATGCCTCAGGGACAGATTAAAACAATTCTCTCTAAAATATTTAGTTAGCAACTATTTTAAAATACTGTAGCAAGTGACAATGTATGCTGTTTTTCTGCCGGATTCTTTAAGAAATATATTGAATTGGAAAAGAGAGTTGATGTACCCTTTTAGCTGAACCTGACTGAAATCTTACTTGTGGGCCATAATAATGGGTGTACCTGTTTATCTGATTTTTATGTTATTTTTCTTTTCTATTTTCTTTTGGTGCCTTTGAGTCAGTGTTGACTCCTGATTATTTGTTGGACAAGTCCTACAGTTTTCTTGGCAATATTTTGGAAGTAATTTGCCATTGTTCCTTCGCAGTGGTGGGATTCAAATTTTTTTTACTACTGGTTCTTTGGGTGTGACTTGGTGGGCGTGCCAGGGGAACAATACTGTAAAATCTCCAGTCAGAGGTGGTATTTGCTGGTTCTCCAAACTACTCAAAATTTCCACTACCGGTTCTCCAGAACTGGTCAGAACCTGCTGAATACCACCTCTGGGGCTGAGAGATCACGATTGGCGCAAGGTCACTCAGCTGGCTTGATGCCTAAACTAGAACTCACATTCTCCCAATTTCTAGCCTTATGTTTTAAGCATTGTACCAAACCAGATCTCCCACCTGCTTATTACAGAAAGGAAAGTTCTGGGAATTAAGCCAGGCCTTCTATGCCATTAGGCTTAGTTCTTCCTATGTACGAACTGAAATGTTTGTATACCGTTCGTAAATCACACAAGTGGAATTGCATATTTATCTCTTGAAGATTTGCTCATTTTGTCACATATTTACCTTTACTATAAAATCAAGTATAGCAAGTCTAATGAAATGAGAGGGGAGAAGGGAGATATCTGTATGTCACTGGATATAAAATCTCTTCCAAAACTATTTCAGCCCTGTTAAAAATAATTGCCTATTTCAATTTGTATATGACATTGTTATACAAACAGGAATGCAGAAGATAACGATCTTCTTAAAATTCTCCTTGCTGCATAGTAACAGAGATAATGGCCCTTCCCATAAATTAATGTACCTTGAAGAACTGCATTTACTTTTTCAAGAACTTGTTGTAACATGCAGAAAATGGCTTATGACAGAACTTCCTCATGTATTAAACACTCAGAAAATAATTTAAAAATAAATTCAGTTGCTATATTCTGTTTGCATATTGGCTTGTAGTCTATTACTTATGAGCAGCTGAAAATAAAAATAGTTTTGCTGATCAGCATCTTTATTTTGTAATTTTAAAATATGATACAGAATTTGTGCAGATTTTCTGTCTCCTAAAGAATTAATATTCTCATCTAGTTCATTCCAAAAAGATTCTCACCAGATTGTTCTTGATCTAAGGAGATAATAGATGTACTTGTTCATGCTGATGTTTTTTTCCCATATAAGGACATCTTTCAGAGTTCAAAAATGAAACACCTGCAGTAGAATTAAAGTTTGGGGGCAATCTGCATATTCAGCAAAAAGCCTGCATTATTGCAAATTGTGATTGTTAAGTACTCCCTTACATTAAAAAAATACTTGGTAAATTTTAAAGGCATGGCTAAAAAAGGCATAGCTAAACTTTATAGAAAAAGAACATGGTTCGCTTTCTTTGTCTTTTGTGTGCAGATCTCCCAGCTATATTTTTTTTAATCCATAAGAATGGAGCATTGTTATTTTCTTTTTAATTGGTAAAAAACCATTTTACTCCACATCTTTTAATTTATAATTAACTATCACTTAACATATTTTAAATTGTTTCTTAAATGCAATAACTCAGTCAAGCTGTATTTAATTTTCTTTCTAATTTATCAAATGGATCAGTTATATGGCTACATATAACTCAATAGCACACTCCCTTACAATTCTAATAACATTATAGGGGTTGCACCGTCCCAGACAGATCCAGTGTGTAATCTGGTGGTTCACAATTCCTGCTCAAGAAGCAAATGGCAATCATAGCCAGGAGGGCCTTTGTGCAAATCCAGGTTGTGCATCACTTACACCCTTTCCTGACCAACAATCCCTGCTTACAGAGTTACCATGCCCAAGTCACCTCCTGTTTTGATTATTACAATGTGCTCTGCGTTGGGCTGCCCTTGAAAAGTATTTAGAAGCTTCAGTTGGTTCAAAATGTGGCAGCCCACATATTTTGTGCAAACCTGGATTTGCTCCCTCTCTTGCAGGAGCTTTGTCACCTTCAAAGCCCTACCTGGCCTGGGAC